ATATTATTATTATTATTATATATATATATATATATATATATATATATATATATATATATATATATATATATATATATATATATATATATATATATATATATATATATATATATATATATATATATATATATATATATATATATATATATATATATATACACTGTAAATTCAAAAGAGTAGTTTTGACCCCTTCAAAGGAGTAGTTTTTTTGACCCCAGGACTACACTTTCAAAAGGGTCGTTTCAGTCCCTTCGGTGTTTACTCTTCGAAAGGGTAGATTCTACCCTTTTCAGAGGGTAGTTTTAACTCCTCAAAGGGTAGGGACGTTACCCTTCGAAAGGGTCGTTTCAGCTATTCGAAAGGGTCGTTTCAGCTATTCAAAAGGGTCGTTTCAGCTATTCAAAAGGGTCGTTTCAGCTATTCAAAAGGGTCGTTTCAGCTATTCAAAAGGGTCGTTTCAGCTATTCAAAAGGGTCGTTTCAGCTATTCAAAAGGGTCGTTTCAGCTATTCAAAAGGGTCATTTCAGCTATTCAAAAGGGTCGTTTCAGCTATTCAAAAGGGTCGTTTCAGCTATTCAAAAGGGTCGTTTCAGCTATTCAAAAGGGTCGCTTCAGCTATTCAAAAGGGTCGCTTCAGCTATTCAAAAAGGTCGTTTCAGCTATCCAAAACTCTCTGTAAAAATTTTGTCATAAGCTGTTACACATCATCACAATATTTAGGTATGATATGATATGTAAATGATTTCTAACATTCAAAAATCAATAAATCATCGTTCAATATCGTTTCGTGTAACATAGCCTTCAGTGCAGAAAATAAGATGGGACGTAATTAAACAGACAAATCACTACTTTTAAAAAATGGATTTAATACGCCACTAAATGCTAATTATATACAAGCATAAACATAAAGAGAATGCATTAAAGTCTTAATCCTTCACTGACCCAACAGAGTAAAAACTTGACTAACACTAAGAGGGATTTGGTTATTAGAGTTCATTGCAAACTTAAGGTTGATTTCTCTCTTTCTCTAAAAATATCATTGCACTTCTCTGGACTTTATATAAATCCAAATTGTACGAGTATTGGACGAAAAGTAACAGATTTAGACAGTCTAAAAGTTTGAATTCACGTAAAGCGTCACACAGCACTTTCCTTTCTCAACAACATACATATAACCAAAGTATCAAACACAGAGGTACCACACAAAAGGATTGCAGGTGAGACTGTCGATTTAATATGGCGGTTCACATCATCAGTTCCCTACAAAATATGTTGCATTTATTAATCAGTGCATAGTACTCACAATTATAAATATTAATTCAGACACTATTCTTACTAGAACAGTTAATTACACTACTCAACTTTTGGTTTGCAACCTTGAATACTGACAATTAATTACCACAATGGCAGAGAGGTTTAAAATTAATTCTCTTTTTATATTGAATCAAACTTGAATACACAAATGACACTTGCTCTAGGCCTGGGGTTAGACGTGGTAAATTAAACTTAATTAACCAAACTACTATACACTATACATAACTAATAACTAAACCACACCCCTGCATATAGTTACTCAAAAATGGACAGTTTTGCAAATTAAAGCACTACTGTATACAGGCAATTGTATGGATAACAAAGCTGAATGCTACAAACTAGGAACATGTTATAGTTCAAGAAGTCATTTACAGGTGGCTTCATACAGTTATAATTTAATGTTTCGACAGCCACTTGTGTGTTGAATTATTAAAGAGTTAAGACCATCACATCTTGGTACCATTAATGCTAATAGTATGGTACAGTATGGTTCAATTGGTTCACAATGGCATTGCATGACAGCATTACAGAGTTTAAAAATATAAATAATGCTTAGGGGTTTCAGAATGATTTGAAGTAGGTGGCTGTACCAAAAAAGTAGGCAGCTGTACCAAAATACTAGCCGGCTGTGAGTGATAGTTGATAACAATCAAATAATATAGAATAAGTAAAAAGACAAAGTACAACTGTTAACATGTTAGATTTAGATGTCATTTGCATTTATACTTGTAAGTGACAATGCACTTTAATGTGCTACTAGTAGTTTACTAGTACAGCTGCATGACCATAATGACAATGTACACTATTAGTATTAATTTATGAGTTCAAAATCATTAATTAAATGATGCTATACTTATGTACGTAATAAACTTTACTTCATCACTTTATTATAATTAATTCACTGTCAAAGAATTAGTCACTTGAAAAACATTTACCAAAGTAGCTCTGAATCTGACTCGTTCTCTGGCTCACTGTCAAATTCGTCAGAGTCAATCAGAGTCATCTTCCTGTTCAGGAAGATTCAGAGTCGCTGACCATTTGCTACAAAATTCAAGATGGTGACGCGAAAACAAAGCAACTTAAGAAAGCAAGCTATGTTTGGTACTATGTATTATTGATCTTATTCATCTTCCAAAATAAGTGATGTTTTGCTTGAACCCCAATTGGAACATAAGGGCCCACAGTTTACACTGTTGTGGTGTCCCTGCCATTTTTGTCCATGTTTATTGTGTAGATGTCTATTTGCTGTTCTGTTAAGTGTTTTTGGCAAAGTTTAATAAATAAGAAGCATCGTGTTGGTTCACTTATACCTTTGTATATAAAATTTTTCCTGTGACCAGATGAAAAGTAGCCGGCGGCACAAGTTCAAGTAGCCGGCGGCGTCCGGCTTATTCTGAAACTCCTGAATGCTTAACCCATTAAGCACCAGAGCTCTCCCCTTGACAAGTAAATCGTATGGCGTTAGAAAGAGTAAAATAATAAAGCAGGGCGCAATGGGTCTCAAACCTACATTACAAAGAAAAATGTTAGGCCCTGTTTACATGAGACCGGGACGAAGTCAAACCGGAATGAACATTGAAATTGTCAACATGTTTACATTGAGACCGGTACGAGGATCACAAAATCTTCAATTTATTCCCCTTGCCAGGCAATTTTCTTTTTCAGGTGGCTTTTGCTAGCATGTGTTGTTCCAATGTCAAGATTACAGCCGAGACAGGTCTGAAATGTATTTGTGTTTACATTCATCCCGGTCTGAATTCATGCCGGTCTGAAGTCAGTCGGTTCGGTCCAGAAGGCGGAATGACTTGAGACCGGTCTGAGTTATTTTCGTCCAGGTCTCATCTAAACATCTATTATAGTTATACTATAACCGAAACGAGATGCCCTTACAAAAATTTCACATAACATTTCATATATGAAAATTTCATATATGAAATCGTTATATGGAATTGAAACAAATTTCATATATGAAATATTTCATATATGAAATATTTCATATATGAAATATTTCATATATGAAATTTTCATATATGAAATTGTTTCAATTCCATATAAAGATTTCATATATGAAATATTTCATATATGAAATTTTCATATATGAAATTGTTTCAATTCCACATAAAGATTTCATATATGAAATATTTCCTATTTGAAATATTTCCTATATGAAATTTTCATATATGAAATTGTTTCAATTCCACATAAAGATTTCATATATGAAATATTTGATATATGAAATTTTCATATATGAAATTGTTTCAATTCCACATATAAAGATTTCATATATGAAATATTTCATATATGAAACTGTTTCAATTCCACATAAAGATTTCATATATCAAATATTTCATATATGAAATTCCACATTAAGACTTCATGTATGAAATTCTCACATGTTTCAAATGTTCAAATATTAAGTTTTATGCATTGAAATTAAGCGAGTCAGGGGAAGTTTATGCGATCCCATTTACCTGAGATTAAACAAAGCGAGCAATGGCTTTGAGGTATTGAAATAAGTCCTTATGAAACCAGACAAGCACATGCTAACAACAGACTAAATATAGATCAATGCAAAAAAAAACATATTCGTACGAATTAGTGCTCAACAATTACATTTTGCCCATTTGATTTATCTACAGAACAAAATTAAAAGCCACCTGGATCATGTAATTTTTCCGAATCATTAACAAATGACTTATTTCAATATCTCAAAATCATTGCACGCTCGTTTAATCTTGTGTAAGCGGGATCATATGAACTGCCCCTTAGAAAAATCTACCTAAATAAGAAAGGTACGTGCTATGAAGGTTTGATATACCACATCAGACACTAGTTTATTCGAAATATACAAATTACAAAATAATAAAAACTTAATTACAATATACATACAGTATATTTACTCTCGGTTACAAAAAATATCCCAAATTTTGTGTGATTTTGAGGAAATTATCCATTTGGGACATTTTTTATGCACCCTGTATATGCATTACTCAACTAAAAGCATGCAGAAATAAAAAATCAGGGGTGGGTTACCAGTAACACCGTGCAGGGACAAGACCAAAGATTAAAATTAAGAAATGCATATAATATCATTACTAAAATATTAAAAACAAATACTGTATGTTTGTGTTCTCTTAACAGTTCTCCTGCTTCTCCAGTTCACATTGAATCTTTTTCTTGCATTCTTAGTTAATTTTGAAAAATTCTTGTGCCTATCCACCTCAGTTAAGGCATTTGCTGTCAGCATGGACTAATAAAAGAAATTATATGGTTTATAAATGGTTTAGAAATATATATGGTTTAGAAATATATAAATGAAATATATAAATGGTTTAGAAATTATATGGTTTATATTATATGGTTTATACAGTAAAATTAATATACATTGTGAGATCTGAATTTTCTTCTTGTCAGTGACTGCAGTCAAGCCTGTACTGTTTCAGTCAGTCACTGTCCACATGTCATACGACTAAATCGTTAGACAGAGTAAAATAATACTTAAAGCAGGGCGCATTGGCACAATGCAACTGAATGGATTAACTAGATTATTAGACATATGGCCAGTTAAGTTACTGTACCTATTAAATGCCAGAGCTCTCCCCTTGATGAGTAAATTGTCTGGCAGTAGACAGAGTAAAATAATAAAGCAAGGCACATCGGTGCAATGCAACTCAATGGATTAACTAGACACATGGGCAGATAGGCCAGTTAATCCATTAAGCACCAGAGCTCTGCCCTTGATGAGTAAATCATCTGGCGATAGACAGAGTAAAATAATAAAGCAGGGCACATCAGGGCGCAATGTGTTAACTTATATCACAAAGAAAAATATCAGTAAACTTACATGCTTGCCTGTCTTGTTTTGGTGGGTCTGCCAGTCTCCTTGGTTGCCTGTCTTGTTTTGGTAGGTCTGTCGGTCTCCCAGGGCATGTGGAAGGGAAGCCATTACACATCTGAGGGTTAACTATAAAAGGGTACAAATGGTGCATATATTAAATAAGTATGTTGAATACGAATATACTGTACAGTCATACCAACACTCTCCCCTTAACAATAAAGTCGTTCGGCATTTCAAGACAATGAAACATAACAACTAACTAGGGATGCAGTGGATATCATATCTGGCCAGATATTGAGATTTTAGTTCATTTTGTGTTACATGGCCACCCAATACTGGGTATTATTTACATAAGGTTCAGGCCTTCAAGATTTACAGTTACTGCAGGTTAGATGATTTGATTAGGTTAGATGATTTGATTAGGCTAAAAAAGCAGGGGTGGTTATCATATTTTTATTCAATGATTGATAACAGGAATGCTTGTAAACACTACTTTCAAGATTTTATATGCTTGTTTGTAAATGCAGATTTGACCATTAAACTAATGCAAGTGAGGCTTTTGCTACCAATGATGCATGTTTACTAGTGCTAGACTGTGAAGTTCTTTCCTATTATTTCAAATCAAAATTTTATAAACACCATAACTTTTTAACCAATTAAAATGATTACTTAAATTAACATTAAGTGAGGCCTGAACCTTATATACTTGAATAATACCCTGAATCTGGCTCCAGGGATATTTTTCAACTATCCAACATATCCTCAACTATCCAACATATCTGGCTGGAGGGCAAAAAGACTCTACCCTGCACACCCCTACAAAGAACTTAAAGTATGTAACATAAGAAGAAATTGCTCGTTAGGTGTTAATAGGTGAAATATGGGCAAGTAGTCCACAGTCGATAATAAAATTGTCTAGCATGACATGTCAGAGTTGAATATCACTTACAGTAGGTAGTGTTAGGGAAAATTGTATCTAAATATATCAACATGAAACATGGGCAGAGTCTAGCTAGACAGTTCCCTTGACAAATAAAATTGTCCGGCATTAGGCAAGATAACATTTAACAAAGTGCTGAAAATTGGGCTCATTGGAGTGAATCAGTGCAATGGGTAATAATTCCAAAAACCATCAAATCCTTGCTGGGGTGTATATCTCAAATATATAAAATGTAGCCCAAAGGTTGTTACATATATTATTAAACAGATCATCTGATCATGCAGGTGGCATAAATAAATGTTATTTGCTGTGTTGGTGTAATGTACTCAGGTGAATAAGATGCTTGTGTGATGTTACTCTGATTGTATATCCTCACCAGGCAGGCTTGAAAAATATACCTGGCCACGGTGGGATTCGAACCTACGACCTTTTGAGTACTAGCCCAATGCTCTTCCAACTGAGCTACGCGGTCAGGTCAGTTCGAGTATGCTATATTTCGGAACTGACTCTAGTCCCTTCGATATCAGTGTAATCTTTTATAATCATTTGCTGTGTTGGTGTAATGTACTCAGGTGAATAAGATGCTTACAAGTGTGATGTTACTCTGAGTGTATATATATATACACCACCTGGCCACGGTGGAAAATATGCCTGCCCGGTGTGGATATACACTCGGAGTAACACCATAACATCAAACAAGCATATAAAACTAAATGAATTCATATAAAGTTTGAAAGTTGCCACACAACCCATCAAATTGACAACTTTTATCTAAACTGACCCACCTATATATGAATAAATATTAATAGAAACTTATGAAAGTACCAGTTAATTGGAAACAAATCGATAAATTCTCTCAAACCATGTTTACCTAGGACATACCTAGGTAGGCATATGAGAATCGAGAAGATCAAGTAGATGCCAAGCTATATTATTTTATACATGGAACACTTGATCTGGCAATCCGTCATATACACAACTAGTCTATTTAGCATTACAACAAACATAATTTGATATAAAGGCTAAGTCAAATGTAAGCCTTTGTATAAAAACTACTGTATTTATATTGTCGCAGCGAATTCAAATTTTAAGACGGAACACATGCTCAAAATTCACGAATAAAGATAGTAAATATTTCCTTTCAAAATTACTCTGTTATATAGAAAACAAAACAATATTCTTACCTGGAAGTTACTCAGTCATCCCTAATGTTCCATCTTCGCTAAAATATACCATCTTCCAGTAAAATACTATAAATCTTTCGATCGAGCAGATGAAAATTCACTGCATTTCAAAAATATGGCGGTGTGATCGATAGTGATGGGCGATACCCACTGAGCTGTATAATAACTGGAGGACCTGCTCCTATCTCTCGTCAGTCAAAAAAGTGTCGCCAAAAACATGGCGGATTTTGACGCCATTTCCATGGCAACTGGTCCGAAAACCTCATGGTAGTTACCACTGACCAGGCTCAATTCTGAGCCCACGGCAGTTTTCACCCCCCCTGGGTTTTTTCAAAAGATTTGGTTTTTGCAGATAAATATTTATAGTTCTCGTTGTTTTAAATCTTTTGTATAAATTTTGAGATATATTTACACCTTTGACCAATTTGGAAAAAGGTATGCAAGTCATACGTGTTATTCTCGCCCGCGAAAGCCAAACAAAACCTCGAGAAATGTGGGAAAAGAGTATTAAAGACGATACTTGAGTCGGGTAAAAGGTAGGAGATGTCTAGTCAATTTTACTCATTCTTTATCTTATTTGACATGAAATTGGTAAGCCTAACGATGAAATACACTTCATTTGTTAAGAAAACAAGCTTTCAGCTTTCTACAGTCCAAATTTCATATTGTAAGGTGTAAAATTTCCCATTATTTTAACAAGCTGTATTCACAAATATTTCTATGTAAACAACACATTTGATATTCACAAATTTGTACGATATATACTGTACTGTCTAAACTCACTAAAGTGTAAACTATCTTGTGTAATAATGTCAAAAAGGTTGACTGCAGAGACCTGAGGTCTCGTTTTATTACTTTTATAAACATACACTTGATGAAACTATGTGTTTGTAGGGTTTGTGTTTAATATGCACCAACTTTTGTATAAGTTACTGTGGTACTGGAAGCTAGCTTATCCAGGAAGGTAGTTTCTGTCTACCTATAAAATACTGATTGGGGACACTTTTTGTGTCATTATACACCTGATTATAAACTCCTTAAGCTTTAAGCACCAGTGCTCTCCCCTCAACAAGTAAAATTGTTTGTTTATCAATTTATATAAAATAGGGTGCACTAGCCTAAGGTACAATGCAACTTTTAAAACAGTTTAATGAAAGCATTCCTAAGCAGCATTGTATGTAGACCTTTAAGATAGGAATAAACCTGCAGCCATCAGTGATTCTGATGCAGTGATCAAACCAAGTTATACTGATCAGCTACTGTGTCGAGCTGTAATTGCAAATTAATTCATGTAAATATCATAAGGTGAAGCCTGTAGTAAGGTGTAAGGGTAAATGTCAGGATTTTGGACATCACACTCAACAGATTGTTAAATATCAAAGGTAGCGTCACTAGACGAATATTTTAAGTGTCAATTTTATGCATATTTAGACCTAACCAACCTAAAAAATATAGTTGCATCTTTTGCAGCTGCTTTAACCAGGTCTAAAAATGTACAAAATTTACACTCAAAATTTTCATCGATCTACAAAAATCCTTCAACATTTAGTGATGTACATCAGCATTGCCATGTAAAACCCTTTTCTCACCAAACATGCACTTACTGCATGTAATAGTTGGTGCATGGTCAACATAGGAATATTTGCACAAGAATAGACATTACCTCTCAATTCTATATTTTTCTCATACAGAATACATGGTCTGCTTCATTAAATTAATATGTAGTTTTTAGATAATTAAACTGCTTTATATTTTTTTAGACCAAGAAGTGTTCTCTTAAATTAAGAGAGAGGTATTGTCAATGGCAAATTGAGGAATCTGATGCATTGGTGGAATATTGCATGTGCATGGTCATGACATTATACTTCTCACACTGGGTTGCCGTGTAGTCTGCCACCGCAAAAGTAGCAGTGCCTTTATTTATTAACAATTGTTTTCATACACAAAATTAACATATAGACCCAATATTAATAACCCTAAACAATGTCTCGAACCACAAGGGTGGGCGGGTGTGAACTACCACACTTGCGGCAAAAGACAAAACATGCCCTATCTCGAGGCACATGCCCATATAAGGGCATAGCACCTCGCCCGGGGCCCCCCAGTGTGAGAACCCGTTTCTCGCTTCTTTCATACTTCAGCCAGCGAGAAACTATAATTCAATGCTGCAATCCTCAAGGTCTGAAAATTGGAGGTTTTGTACCAACCTCTGCTAATCAGCAGGGATCGATCAAAAGATGTGCTTAAATTAAGTAACACTACTAGTTTTGTAAAGAAAATGAAACACTCTTGATGACATATACTAGATTTGTTGAAATAGTTGAACTGAGGCAATGATAGCAATTCAGGCATTTTTGGGGAACATTTTTAAAAATGTACTTGTTTTTAAAAAGTAAATTTATATTTGACCCATAATTTTCTCAGAACCAATCCAATATTCATCTCTACATTAAACATATTTTCAGAGGTCAAGTATTACTAACAGTGATTTGAGTTCTAGGTGTGGAAATAGAAATCACAAAATGTTAATAATAAATGAAAATTTTAATAAATTTTATATATTTACATAATACGTACTGTACTGTAATTTAGTATTTATGACAACAAGTATTTATAATCATTGAAAATTGTATTGACAGAATTTAATTACATTAATAAGGGGGCATTCATTATTGATGTGGGGGGGGGGATGGGTGAGAAACTGGGGGGACCTGAGATTTTCCCAGATGAAAAGGGGGACTGCAATTCTGGTATTAAAACCAAATCCTGGGGGTACCTGACATTGAAGGAAGACACATCTACACATTTCAAAATTCATGATGAGGGTAAAAACAAAAAGAAATCAGATTTACATAAACTTCATCTTAATTTATTTATGAAGTTATCAAATACATCATTTCTGAAGTTATTCAAAACACTCACAGTACATGTTTCATCACATCTATTAAAACACTTGGGTATCACCTCGTGTTATATTAATCTGATAAAAAATTGCTGTTGGTACTTTGAATATATTTTAATACAATATAATAACTAACTTTCTTTTCTGCTCTCTCAGTCCCTGCTATACAATTGTACAAACATGTACATACTACATTTAGACACAAAGATGTACATTTAGATTTAATGTACTGTAGTGTTAAAAAATTAAATGTGACTGTGTGTAGTACTCTTTATTGTCAATAAAAAAGAGTTGTGCCATAACTTCAATTTGTTCTTCTCCATTTTGGCATCCTGTGCCATCACTTCTGGTACCTATATTAATTAAACAGATCATTATTATACCACAATCATGTTATTACACATCTTTAGTAATTAACAAAAATATAATATGTATTGCATATATGTTAACCCTTTAAGTGGCAATGCACCCTAATGTACTTTAGGGGAGAACACTGCCACTCAGTGGGTTAATCAGACAATCTTCTGCATGGTTATGCATGACTATTTTACTCGTCACTTGGAGCTAGTGCTCATGGCACTCAATGAAATATAAATCAAACTATCTACATACCCAATGTGCCCAACTTTAGTTAATCTTACTCTGTCTAACACCAGATTATTTTACACGATCTGTCTAATGCCAGACAATTTTACTTGTCAAGGG